TCCTTCATTGTTTCAACAACAACACACACCGAGGGCTAGCAGTTCGAGGAGAGACAAGAGGGAAGGCGCGAGATGGGAGGGGAAACCCGCAATGCTGCAAGGGAAAGTGAGTTTTTTTTTCAGTGAGACTCCGATGAGAGAAGTGAGTCGACCGCTCTCTGGTGGTGGTTGTAAGCAAAACATCCATGTCACATGTCTCTCCATTCAGAAATGTATTTCATCTCAGGCTATGCCATTTGGTACGGAAGAGTATTAGGGCCACAGCATAATAAACTCAGAATTCTGACTTTATTCTCAGAATTCTGACGTTAATCTCAGAAATCTGACTAAACTCAGAATTCTGAGATTAAAGTCAGAATTCTGAGTTTAAAGTCAGAATTCTGAGATTAACGTCAGAATTAAAAAAAAAAACATTATGCAGTGGCCCTAAAGTCAGAATTAAAAAAAAAATTTATGCAGTGGCCCTAATACTCTTCCGTACATTTGAGATGAGTCTAACTTTATTTGTTGTAATAACTGTAATTCCACTGATGATCCACTGATCTTTTCTTCAGTGGTGGAAGAAGTAGGATACTCAGATTGTTTACTTAAGTAAAATTAGCAATACCACAGTGTAAAAATTGTCTGTTACAAGTAAGTCTTGCATTCAAAATGTTACTTAATAAAAGTACAAACGTATTAGCATAAGTATACTTAAAATTACAAAAGTAAAAGTACACATGGAAAATGTTTATTATAATTATTCATATATTACTGTACACATCACATTTAATGTTGCAGCTGGAAAAGATAGAGCTAATTCTAACTACATTAGATGCTTAGAATTTGAATTACTGTTGGGTAGCTTGTGATAACAAATTTTATGACTATGCTGTATTTTGTTTGATTAACTAAAGTAGTCAAATAAATATAGACTACAAAGTACAATATTTTTCTTTGAAATGTAGTGAAATTGAAGTATGAAGTAGCAGTAAATGAAAATACTCAAGTAAAGTACAGATACCTCAAAATTGTACTTATGTACAATACTTGAGTAAATGTACTTAGTTACTTTCCACATCTACATTTCTTATTATGTTTGTGTTATGTTTTTGAAAAATCTAGACTGACATAAATTTTTCTTAAAGAAAAAGTCAGATTTTAGATAAAAAATATTGATGTGATAAATGTAACTTATCTTTCCAGGCTTGTTAACATAATAGCCCAGCTGACACCTGTGTAGGCCAATATCATTCTGTTTAACAGTGAGAATAATCAAAATTGGGAATGGAAGAACTTTGCTATCCTTGATTCCTGCAAGAAATAAACCAAATAAAATAAATAGAAATAAAATCATCCCATATATGTGGTCAGACAAGCTATGTTTGGCGGTGCGTGGAAAAATCATATTCTGCATGATGTACTTGGAAATTGTTCCTGTTTTTTGTTTAATTGCTCCCACGATAAACTGGAAAGACGAGAGACTGGAAAGAGACATTATAAACGAAAGGAACTGGAGAACTAAGGGATTTTTAAAGACAGTGTGCAAACAAGAAGAAGACTCACTCCATTTATCTTCAGCACACATCCCATGAATGACACATCATCCATCCATATATCCTTCTGCTGTAACTTTAAACCACAATAAAAACACATGATGGCGCCAGGTGGCGATATAGAGTTCGTGTAAGGGTGTGCTTGCAATAAAACACAAAGCAGAATGGCGAAGAAGAATGTGATTTTGTAGAAGAAAAGAAGGAAGTGTTGTGTTAATGTAGCTGGTTAACTGGATACCATTGTCTGTGTTTTTTGACTTTAAAATATCAGGTAATATATCATGTTAATGGAGAGTATGGTAGTCTTTTATAAATATTATGAAACGGCTTCGCCCATAATTTAGTTACTGCTACGGCTGTTTGTAGTAGTCGAAACAACCCAATGTTCCCAAGCTAACTAAAGGCTAACGTTAGCCTGAGGTGAATTTCTAGTCATCTGACTATGCAGACTGGGTCAGTTAGCATCAGAAGGTAGCTTTATCCCTTGAGTTGTATACGGTTTTCATAAGATTACTTTGAGTGTAAACGTTAAGCCATCTCCAAGACAGTTGACAATAGTATCCTAATCGTAGACATCACCGTTGTCACAGAAGTTATGTTTTTGGTGGGTTGCTGTCCTCAATTGTACACCGTAACGTTCTTTTCTGTAGCAGGATCCACATAAAGCGAAGATGAACCTGGAACGCCTGCCCAATGAGGAGAAACTCAGCCTATGCAGAAAGTACTATTTAGGTGAGAGTACTTAAATGTTGATAGGATAACCACTAATACATACATTCTGATATTCAATCTTGCCTCTTCCCCTTTGGTTTTATATTCTGGACATATGGAAATAGTGTTGACACCTGCCTCCATAAATTGTATATTTATATTATTATGGTTCCGTTTGCATGAGAGGGAGGATTGGTTATCACTATCTTCTCTGCCCACGTATTAATTCAGTAGTATTGTCACTGATGTGTCTCTATGTATTTTTCTCAGGTGGCTTTGCATTTCTTCCATTCCTGTGGCTGGTGAATGTTGTTTGGTTTTTTCAGGAGGCCTTTCTAAAGCCAACCTACACTGAACAGCTCCAGATAAAAACTTGTAAGTATCAGAACTTCTCTTTAATTATTAGAGATTTTAATAACCATAGTTCCACTTGTTTAATTTAACAAAAAATTGGCATTTAGAAACTGTGCATTTAACATTCATGTCTTATAGTTTTCCTCAATATTTTCAGAACATCATTTCAGTTGTCCTAAATCCTGGAGGAAATAGGATGACTTTTCTAGGTTTAGAAAATTGATTTAATGCTTTCTAATCAGGGCTGGGTATTGAGTAAATATTGATTAATATGCCTTTATATAATAGTTTTGTTTTTAACAGAATGTCTACATCCATCTAAAATACCCAAGAATGTGGATTTTTAAGGGATACACAGAAAATGTCTACTTACTATATAATGTTGATATATTGATGTAAATCTAATTTTGCCAGAATTACACACAGTATTTAAAACTCTCCACATTGCCACATTTTAGTGTAGCAAAATATTCATCACACATTTTGGCTCTCATTTTTCAAAGAAAGCTTCAGTCAGCTAAGTCGGTGCAATACAATAAATCTGTGTGCATAATCACTGCTTAATTCTAAGTAAATGTCTCTTTTGTGTTTTCCGTTTAGATGTGAAGCGGTCTGCACTGGGGTTGGTGTTATGGGTAACAGTACTCACTACATGGATTACTATTTTCCAACACTTCAGAGCACAGTGGGGGGCTGTGGGAGATTATCTCTCCTTTACAATTCCACTGGGAATTCCTTGAGACAGTTTATCATGTCTTCTGAAATACCATACTTCAGTTACAATGTTTTTTCACTATGTACTTTACTTTTCATCACAAGTCAGAATTTGACACTTATCTTGGAATAACATTATTCCTCAAGGATCTAGGATCTGTGTGGATCTTTAGTTGATGACTCATCTGTGTGCTATTTTCTCTATATATACTCTGAATATTTTGTATCATTACAGAAGTCTTCTAAAGTCTGGACAATCACTGGCGCCTTTTGTGAAATCCAATAACTTAATCCCTCCCATCAGCCATCCTATAAGAGTCCTAACATAATCAGAGCCATTTTTAGCCACTCCAGTCAAAGCTTAAGTGACAGGTTCTACATTACTAACTGGGAGAACATGTGCCCGCAGTAAATAACTACTGACCTTACTAGCATGTGCCAAGAACAAGAAGCAGTTGCATGTATAGTACTTTTTGAGTCACTTGGTAAAATTGTAAAATAAAGAACCCTTTCATGGACATTGTGTATTGTTTTCAGGCTTGCTGTATTTTATGTGTCTGTTTAGAGTGAAGTGGTAGAAATTAATGTAAATGCATTTACTCAAGTACTGTAAATATAATTTTAGGCACTTCATCTCATTGTACTTTGTTTCAGCAGTAAATTCCTCGTGTGTCCAACACACCTGGCCAATAAAGCTGATTCTGATTCTAAATACTTTTGCTTCACAACATACATTTAGCAATTGGTAATAAAGAATGTATGCTCATTCAACCAACATAAACATGGATGTATTTTTACAGTTAAAAAGACAGCAAAATGTCAGGTAGTTAAAATCATTTCTACCAGTTACAGTACCACTTTAAAATGCTATTTATACCTATGTGCATAAGTAGGAAAACATGAATGGAATGTATTTTTCAATAATAAAACATATGCAGGACCACATTTTCTACATTACCTTTAGTTTTGATATTTCCTAGTATATTTTACAGACAAGCTTCTGTGCTTTTACTTAAATACTGAATGCAGAACTTTACCTTGCACTGGAGTATTTTTACATTGAAGTGTGGATACTTTTACTTGAGTGAAGGATCCAAATACCTTTTTCCATCACTGAGTAAGTGATGAGGGAAGGTAGCTCTTTGGTACCACACATGCTCAAGCATGTGTTTTGGGTCCCTGCTGTCAATGTCCGTCACCAGCTCATGAGGGTCAACATCATGTTTTGAACTTATTTTTGGAAAGACCTTCTTGACAACCAACCTTAAGCGCATATTTGTAATAGTTCTGATATCACCAATAGTCTGTTCGTATCAGTGTCATCAACCCTAGGAATAAACTGTTGACAACATTGTTAGTAATGGGTAATAACTTAATTGAGAATAAGCTTGCAACAGCTGCTTGTAATAACACACTTATCCACATGGCTCTGCCTGAACACCCATGGGTACACATTAGTCCAGAACATAACAGAAGCAAGGTGCCTCACTGTGAATTCCCAACTCATTATGTAACTCCAGTATAAAAAACACAGAGTCAGTCACATCCAGCACCCAGAAGGAGAGGAGCCTGGAGTCAGACATAGTGGCATAGCAGTGTACCTCATTCAGGACCTGACAGTTATCTAGGGGCTGTCTTTTCCCTTTTGTACACAAACTCGGTCAGGAAATTTAAGAAGAGGTGAGTTCTGTATGCCTTGTACTCTGCCATCCTGCAGCCTCAGCTGCTGTCAACAGAACCTTATTTATTTTTTCCTTACTGATTAGAAATGGATTTCATCCTGCCACCCACTATGCCAGCTGGTGGTATCCCATGGGAGAAGGTTTTACCACCTCTTATTCCTCAGCTGAATGGAAATTATGGACAGTGGTCACCGAAATTGCTGCTTCCAGAGACTGAAAATACTAGCTCTGCAGTGGTAGGTCATTTTAACTTACTATGGCTAAGTATTGTAAAATTGTACAAATGTGGGGCTATATTGGATATTTACTGTGCTTAGCTGTATTTCATGCTTATATAATAATACACAGTATTATGACTCATTTTTGTAGGTGAACTGTGATGACAGTGGATTTACAGTTCAAGTTGATGTAAAGCTCTTCAACCCAGAGGATCTAATGGTCAAAGTAGTAGGAGACTTTGTAGAAGTGCAAGGAAAGCATGAAGAAAAAAAGGTTGGTATTCTGGGAAGAACATTGCTGGATGCTTTTTTTTTAATTTATAAAAGCTATGAAATTTGTTATCCTCTAAACTTGAATTCCTCTGTTTTGTTAGGATGGTCCTGGGTTTACAACACGGCAGTTTAATCGCCGCTACCGAATCCCAAAGGGCGTTGACATCATGTCTTTGGAGTCAATGGTCTCTCCAGATGGCATCCTTATCATATCTGCACCTATGCTGCAAACAGAGACCTCCAGATCCCTGACCTAATCACAAAAATACCAAACACTCAGATCTGCACCGTTTTCACCATGTATGACTACAAATGCAACGAAACCCTTTAAGAACACAAGCACAAACAGAAACAACTTCAGGCTCCTCTAATCACCGCAACATTCAGCATGTGCCAAAACACACATTTGTTGTGTTTCTGGCTCTGCTCTAATGTTCCCTGCCCCCTGAGGTTTGTATATAGTGCGCTGCTATTACTCATCAATGTTACATAATGTTTTAAGGAACCAGTCTGTAAATATTCTGTTCACATATCAATTCTTCTGCTTCTTTTTGTGCAACTTTTGTAAAACACACTGTATTTTGATTATGACTAATGATGAACACAGACATATCTCTAAACTCTTTAATGTGGAAACAGTCATTTTAAAAAAGTACAAATAAACTTTATTTCTTTATAAAAAAAATTAAAAAAGCAACTACATGAAATGCCTCTTGCAAGTGTTCAAGTAACTTGTTGCTTGTCCAGGAACTTGTGCAACAAAGCATCCACTTCCCTAAAAGGAAAAATATAGTAGAATATTTTTATGTAATTTAGGGTGCCATGTTAAGATCATTTTAACAACACTGTAAGTAGCCTACTGCATTTCATATGTTCAGGAACAACATCATTTTACACAACTGACCATTTGACCAGCTGAGCAATTTATGTTTTACCTGATCTGCTCCTTTACCCATTTTCTCTGTTTACGAAAGACTTGTAGTAAAGGGTCGTCTTCAAATTCCTTTTCATCTGAATCTGAAAAGAAAAGTACTTTTGAAGGTTATAAGCATAAGAACCAAGACTATAAGTTATTATTTTATTAGTGTAACTCCCAAAGGGTTAGCATGTACTTAATGATTACAGCAAAATTCAACATGGATTACAAATGTTACCAGATCCACATACAAACAGCATGCACAACAAAGATTTAAGTTTTGGAATGCTATAGACTGTTCACAGTAAAGAACAGGGTAAAATGTGGTGCTCTTTACTGCCATAAGTTCACCTTCAGCCTCTTGCAGCAGCTGTGAAATGACCCCCACCGAGTTCTGTGCATTGCATGGAGGAACTGGGGGTTGTGGAGGTGCAGAGGTAGTGCCATGATGTGAAACCAAGGAGACAGGGGTCCTCTGTGCTGGAGGTGAATCCACCATGGGGAACAATACCCCTGAAACTACCTGTCAGGGCCCAGTGAGAACATCCTATTGTTCATGCAGCTTTTAATTACCATAGTGACATTGTACATGTACATCTAAAACACATGGTTGGCAGAGTGAACTGGTGAAGTTGGTGAAAACCTTTGCATGTGCTGACCTGTCCTAAAGCACTGTGGACTGGAGAAGGTGGTGGTGCATGATCACCAGTACAGCTCTCACTGGGGAACTGGCTGCCCTGCCGCTGATGCTGCTCTGCCCCTGGTATGGCTGTTTTGGAAAATCTTTGATGTGAAGAACTCCAGTTTGTAGAGTTGCGTCCACCGGGATGTTCTCTATCCACAGTATATCTGCACAAAAATGTGCATTAAGCATTCAAACCTGAATTTGTACATTCTGTGCATATTTCAATACATCACCTTGATGATTTCTTTTGCTTCCTAACAGACGTCATTGTCTTGTTCTCCTTCTTCTCTGACTCCGTTGGTGGAGCTTTCTCTTTTTTGTACCTCTTGGATATTTTGTGCTGACTAGGCCACTCTCCTATAGCCGCAGATGAAGCAGGTGGTGAGGATGACACATGTTCATGAGTAGGCTCATCATTTGAGTTTGCAGGGACTTCAGTCTTTTTATGAATAACTTTGGCCTGAGACTCATCTAAGGTTTGTGAAGTATTGTCCTGCACACCAACATGAGACGACTGGATAGGACAGGGCAAGACATCACAGAGTAAATGCATGTGGGGAGGAATGTAGGCAATAGTCTGAGGCTGACAGACTGATGAGCCAGAGGCAACAAAGGCAGGGAGGGGAGGTAGACCTGAAGCTGGGGGGCATGATCCATGGACTTGGGGAGCACTGATGTGTGGATCAGTAGCTTTTTGTGAGAATTCAGGAGGTTGATTACTCTGCGGTTGCTAGAGATGATGCAAAACAGAGGAATTTTAAATTAGTCTGTAAATCTGGAATAAACATTAAACAAAAGGTGTATAATTTTACCACGACTCCAACCTTATAAGCCTGTCCACTGGCTGAAAGGTGGCTTAAACGGGGAGCCTGCCAGCTAAATGTAGCATCATGAAGACTGGAGTGTTGGACAGACCACTTCCTGGCCTGCTCCATCTTCCTCCTCAAACGCCACTGAAACAAGATGTCCTCTTCTGGGCGTGTGGAGGGCATCAAAGAAGAACTGACATATTTTTGGGAGGACACAGCCTGAAGTGATTCAGTGCTGGCTTTCGCTGTAAATGTTGACAAAGACATTGCACAACAGTATAACAGTTTAAATTGCTGGTTATGAAAAAAGAGGAACCATATACCACAGGTTCCTTAATAGGGAGCCATATTGTTAAAGTTTACACTGCAAGAAAACAATTTTAAAAGTTGGCATTTTATTTCACACTCTTGCCTTACCAGCAGTAGGCTTTATTAAACTTGGAAGCAAAGGTCTTCGCACTGGCTCATCTACACTGACTGGAGAAGAGAAATCTGAGCACCGCAGGCCCTCTGAGCTGACAGGGATAGATCCATCACTCAGAGTACTTTCACTATTAAAAAGAAAACAGGTTACTGTCAACTGAAGGAATTAATTAATATATCATTGATGTTAACTGGTGGTCGTCATACCCTCTCAGTAGAAGTCTGTTAGCCCTCTCTTGAAGGTGTAGTATCTCTGTGTCATCAAATTCATCCTGGGAGGTGTCTGAAAACATCTGAGAAGCAAACGGAACAGTTCACACAATTCTGTTCTTGATATTTTAATATTAACAGCACTCACAATACAGTGTAAATGAATACAACTAGATAATTAAATGTGTGGCATTTGTGTAAAAAATAAATCAGATCAGTTATATTACCTGGCTAACAAATATACAGACATTCTTTTATAATTTTGCGAGGTTGGGGTGACACATTTGACACGAGCAGGTTGAACAAGCCATATACAGTATGCATCAGACAAGGCTGCATAAAAGATGACTTCCCAGGTATTTAGCAAACAAAGGTGTTTCCAAATGGACATGTGGTGTGGTGTTGAAATGCAAATGTTTATATGTACACTTAGTTGGAATTAGGGGTCTCTCCTGCAGGCATCCTGATTCACTTGGCATTCAGACAAATGTGGAAAAACCAGGGAGGGATAGTGTAGACCCAATAATCCATTATAAAAGCATATCAAACTAATAAATAACAGGATGGGATAGTATCTGGTGTTTTTTAAAGTTTTTTAAAAATTAAATATGGGTATATTTGTAGGTAAATTCAGAAATTTCCTACAAGCAATAACACTCATTATTTCTGTTTGCTAAAGACAAAAAACAACAACAGGTTATTCAGTGGCTCATTCTTAGTGCACTCACAAATGCACTGGCTCTGCATGGGGAAAGGGATCCGTCATGTTGACACTGGCCAGCTGGACTGAAAATGGCAGGTCTCTGGTCATCTCTCAAAGGCTGGATGGCTTCTGGGGAAACAGAGTGATTCCACAGATTGTCTCACAGATTTTACCAAAAAGGCTTCTTTCTACATTGAAATTTAGAAGTTGGTAACAATTAACAAAATGTAGATTAAAATATAACAGTAAGTGTAAATCTACCTTTGTCTGTTGCTTTAGTTGGCATTGAGCTGGGGGGTAAAGATGAGGGTGACATCCACCAAAAAGGCAGTTGCTCCTCTCCCATGACAGAAGCCATCTGTTGGCGCTCCTCTCGACTCTGCGGTTGACCACGGCGAAAACGATCTATATATCTGGAAGACATTGTAATGTTTAGTCACAGCTTACATCACCTTTTCACTACAAAATAAAGTTACAGTTTTGGTTTATGGCAAAAACACTGAACTTAGGTGCTGCTATATTTAAGGGTATAAGTCTTGACTGTATGAAGCTAAAGCATACTTTGCCAACACTGAATCCTGCTGGTCCCCAGTGTATTCCCTTGCTCTCACAGACTGTTTGGGTGTCTCCATGTCAGATGAGGTTGCAGTGCCCGAAGGAGAAGATCCACTGTCAGTGGAGGGCCAGGATTCTGCATAAACAGGTTGTCCATCCGTGGCGGCAAAACACTGTTCACGTTTCTCAAACAATTGGTGGCCCTCAGCGGTAAGAGGTTGTACTTTTGGACTGGGTCGCTGGTGTGAACGTACAGGACTCAAAATCTGCAAAACAATAAAAAAGATGCTTTGATTTCGGAAAGAAACATTACAAACAGATGTGTTTTGCTGTGTATGTAAAGTTTAAAACGTACAGTTTCTTTCTTTTTCTTTGACAGGGCCTGGTTGCAGGAAGGGTGGTAGTGTGCTTTCCTCACATTGGAAGCTGGCTGGAAAGGATTCTGCCTTGTGAACACAGGACCACTGTAAAAACAACACACATGATTAATTGCAACTACTGTTTACAGTAATCTACTAAAATGTGGTCTTTTGATCTTACCTGGATTTCATAACTTTAGAACTTCACAGGTGATTCATAATAGCGCAAAGAACATCATGCAGACTCAAGGTTGTTCCAGTAGGAGTCTGGGTTATGCCCGGTCCCAGGCTCTTTGACTCCAAATTACAGCTGGATAGACGTGTCCGGTCGAGTAGGTTACTTAATTCTCACTGTATTATAACTTATATAGACGGGCATTGTCCATTAGCCTTCCGAGTTGGATTTCTATGTAAACAAAACAAGGCAAACATGGAAACAAACGTCAGTACCGTACAATTTGCCCATAAAACAGCAAAGTAGGCTGCTACAGTGGACATTTCGAAGATCTATTCATCGTACAAATCATTATTTATACCGAAAACATAACTACTTTGCTTTTTGACAAATATATCGATTAACAAAATATCGATGAAAAGGAAAGGAAGCGTCACAGTTCAACTGGATCGTTATTTACTACAAAGCATGCAACCAATAGGCAGCGAGTTCAATATGATGGACAATACATTAAACCAATCACCTAGCTGGTCCTTGCTGCACAAGGGCCAATCACCTAATAGGAAACCGGCAGCGCGCGGAAGAGGAAAGTCTGAGAAGGTTATGTGGTCGACAAAAATAAGCTAAGATAGCAACAGTAATTTGCGCGTGCAGGTGTTACGATCCGACATAAATATGTAACGATCAGTCTGCACTATCTCTCAAGTGGATCGGCATAATAGACAAACATAGATAAAATAGCGTTTGCGAATTAGCTTTGTTATCCAGTGGTTTCTGCTAACCAGATGGGGGCTAGCTTGTTGTAAACGATCCTTACCTAACCGCAGCTAGCTAGCCAGCTAGCTAACCTTAACGTTAGTAAGCAAACGTCCCATAACAATTCTACATTAATATCGTTAAGTAATATCAGCTACAAGTCGGTATCACCGTAAAGAGATTGGGAATTTGGCACGGCGAACGTGTGCCTTTAAAAGTTGGTGTGTTTCCCGATAACCGGGCGGAATATATATATAACATTATTCACAAGTTGAAAAGGTGAAAATAATGCACCACGCCAAGATCAAGACTGAAAGGCAAGGTGAGAGGTTCAACCCAAAGTCTGCTTGGTCTAGAGCACTACATCTGGCAACGTAGTCTGCCCAAATTCACTAATAAATGTCACCTACACTCAATATAAACTCCCTATTGTGGCTGTAGTCAGTGACTCTTGTTTAAATAACGTTACGGATCTCGCTGTTAACCATCTGTAACATCTGTACAGATTTGGAGGTGACTGGTGCACGCAGCAGATTGGATGCAGTGTTAAAGGGACTGGTAGAAAAGAGTGAAAATGAAAGGTCAGTAAAATTATTAATATCTGAAACGTATCATTCTGATTGCTTTTCAGTCAAACTATCATCATTGTATTTTCAACAGGGATCAAAATGAGGGGGATACTGGAAAAATAACAGCTGACCCTTTAAACAAGTATGGATCGATTATTTGGATTTCAAATGTACAGTTTTTTTTTTTTTAGAGTGAATGATATAGTTTACTGCAGTTAGTGCTGTGAAGTCAGATAATATGTGCTATTTCAACATAAAAGTATAAAGGTTTTTTTTTTGTTTTTTACTGTATTTTCCACCTGCTCTGTCTAGGGACTTGTCTCCATCATCTGCTGGAAAAAGGCAAGTGTATGTATTTTCCAACCTGAGCTTAAAAACTAAGCTCAACAAACAATTAGTTGCCTGAATTTGTGACTGTCGGTGCTTTTATTCTTTACATTAACAAATTGCTTGACATGTTAAAGTCTACGTTCTTGTTTTAATCTTTTTCAGACCGTCAGCTCGTTTTTCACAGCACCGGAGGAAGAAACGAAAAGAAATGGATGAAGGCATACCAGAGGGCAATCAGCATAAACAAAGTAAGCTTGAAGATAACATAGGCTACAAAGAAAATTGTTGTAGTATATGTCCCTGTGTTTCAGTTACTGTAGTTACTTGGCAGTTTCCTTCATTAAACAATATCTTAATGTTTTGCTTGCTGTTTTTCTGTCTTTTTCTATCTGCTAGATGCTTACATTATTAAGTTGTTTGATCGCAGCGTGGATCTGGCTCAGTTCAACACCAGCACCCCACTGTATCCCATCTGCCGTGCCTGGATGAGAAACAATCCTTCTGTTCGAGAGCCAGCTCTCTCCCCAAGCCCTCCACACAGCATGGTAGAGGAAGAGGTGAGGCCATAGAGTTATGTTGGATAACCTTTTTCCCCCACCACCCAAAAGTTATACTTTATTCACTGTAAACTAGAATGTTTTTATGAGTATATAGATTCTTTTAGAGTAGGAGAGTAGACACGCTACCATTATTGTGGCCAGAAATACTGTGATATACAGTAGACCTTTGATTTTATGCTTTTGAGTGTTTCAGTTGCCATTTTCAGTGCTTTGAAGACCACAATCAAAATTCCATTCCCATCTTTGGTGTATATGGGGTCTTTATATGTCTCAGCAGTAAATATCTCCAAACCCCTGTAAATACAACCAAAACTGCATAAATGCGTAACTAAACACCACCAGTGGTAAGTGAGAAAATGTTTTGGTGTGTATGTCTCTTCATTTTGTAATTTGTTTGGATTGCTTAAAACGTGGAATCGTAATCATCAGTATAATCAGTAAGTTTGGAGACAATAGTCTTTGAAACACTGAAATCAACTTTTAAAAGTATTTATGACACTAGAAAGAAAGGTAATAGAAAGTATCTTATCTCTAAAGACAGCATTGTTTCATGGTCACTGAGCATTATACCACCAGGAATTGTGTTATTGACTCTTCCACTGCAGTCCTTTTTCCAAATTTCTTTCTTTTGCCAGGTCACAGACATGATCAATGGTAAAGGTCAGAATGTGTACCGATTTCCTCCTCCAACCTCCTGCCCAGTCGGCCCCACTGGTGAACCCATCAATCTCAGGATCCCACAGACTGAAAAACCCACTGTTACCAAGGTCCCATATATTATGTGCATGAGAATTGTTGATGGTGTTTTTACTTGCATGTACTTGGACACATTGAATTTTAACATTAAAGTCATCAGTTAAAAAGTTAACAAGTGACTATATCTGAATATTTTTGTTTTTCCACAGTTAAACGATTCAGCTCCTGTTTCAGGTTCTCTTATATGTGACCACATGGAACGATGGAAAAAGATAAGGCAGAAGTATGTTCTGAAAAGCCATAGACACACACTACAGTTTGTACCTTTGTTTTTGTTTTCACTGCCCTGTGTCCTGCACACAGCCCATTGCAAGGTCAGGGTTTCATCCATGGCTGTTCTTGTGTATCACTTGATGCTTAAGGCTGATAAGTTGTTAATGTCTGATTTACTGTATACAGTGCAGTGTTCTTTGCCAAAGCCCATTACAGTTGACTAAAGCGCCTGACTTGAAATCAAAATAATTTTTGAAGTAGTTTTGTTCTGAAGAGTAACAGAAATGTAATGTTGTTCTTGCATTCATTTCTGCACCTACACTGTAACCATACACATGAATGGTAAAACGAAAAACTCTTTCATAATAATTCTCACATCTTCTTTAGGTCTGCCAGTGGACTGTATTTGTTGTCTTTTGTGGTTGTCAAATTAAACTTATTTGTACATAAGAAATTATTAAATTGCTGTTGTGTGATGCATGCTATAAGCTGGGTCATGCATACCCATCTTGCATAAAGTCCACTTTTTATTTAGTTTTATTAAATTAGTTCAGTATCCAAAATTAAAGGAAGAAGAAGAGAGAGTTTAAACTTTAAAATATTTCTCAGAGACAGGAGTAAATGTTGCAATACTTGCCTCACTTTGTAGATCTGTGTTCCTCACAACGCTTGTTTTATTGGGAGACAGTTTGATGGGCCTGTGACGGGTAATCGGGTTTGGTGTGAGAGTCTGACAGGGCAACCAAAACATCCAAAAGTTTGGGATGAATTGAGCTGACACATATTGGTGTTTTTCCAGATGGAAGGAGTGCTCCAACAAGAACCAGCTAAGATACAGTGAGAGCATCAAGATCCTTAAGGAGATGAAGGACCTCTATGATCACTAACTGGCCACCTTATAGCTCTCCACAATGGAATGGACTCTTTGCACTTGGAACAGAGCCATGGTGTACACCTGCCACCTACACAGACTCATAGGAAAGTATTAATTGAACCCGGAGCCTTAAATTGATCACATGTCCTGTGCATTGCAGAAATAATATTTTGAAGGATGTTTTAAGGTTTTTGCAAGCTCTTGTGTGGGAATGGCTTCTAGTGTGGTGTAGGGGTGTTTTTAATCATAAAAACTGTGTAGATGTCTGACTAAATTAACTTCGTTATCAGCAGTATTTTTCCAGAAAAACTGTCATGTGCATCCTCAACATCCTAACAAGATTGAATAAAGTTTATTGTGATCTCTTCCACTTTCAGATTTCTTTATTTTATTTTCAGCATGCAAGTAGCGGAGAACACAGAAACTAAGATAAAGAGGTTTAGCTCAGAGAGTTCAATTAGTCTACAGGAGTAGCCTGTAGATACTGATGTACACTGTGACTTGTTCTTTTAACATGTATAAAGTAGCCTGTTGGTTCTTTATTAGTCAGCTATCCAAGACAGATGTCAAGCCATAATAATGTTTTTGTGATTACATTCTAGATTTTGTGTCAGTTAATGAACATGTAATTAAAAACATGATCTCTATAATGAATTATGATGCAGTCAAAGTGCTAGAACAGTGATATTTTCTCTCTGAATTACACCACACTAGATTTACAATTAACCAAAGTGAATGAGAGGAATATAGTCTTGAAAAAACTAAATTTATCAACATTGATTAATTGCTGTTGTGAGAATTTTTTAAATCCCAAACTGAAGAAACCATAGAAAATACCCCATGTCTAGGAACAATAAAAACTACTGTAGGTAACCCTAGTTCTTTTGCTATTACTATACTCTAGTATGACAGCATAGAAAAAAGCACTAAATAAGTGTTTTGTGAGTTGGGCAATACCTTTTTTTTTTGGATATTGCTTAGTTGCAGTAGTGGAGAAAGTAGCAATATCATAGTGTAAAAATACTCTGTTACAAGTAAAACCTTTCTGTGCGGTGCTTGCGTGGGTTGATTGGCGGCTCTAAATTGCCTGTAGGAGTGTGTGTGTGTGTGTGTGTGTGTCCCTCCCGCCAACCACGTTCGGGACTAAGCGGTATAGAAATTGAGATTATTGTGTACATCACTTTAATGTTGCAGCTCGTAAACTCGTTTGAACTTTATATGCTTATAATTGAAATCACTGCTGGGTAGTTTGTGAATTTCCCACCAATATGATTATATAGTATTTTGTCCTTTGATCTGATTCTGAAAAGTAACTAGTGAATGAAGTTATCCAATAAATGTACCAGAGTACAAATTACAATAGTAGCCTCTGAAATTTAGCGAAGCAAAAGTAGGAAGTAGCAGAAAATGAATATACTGACTACCTCAAAATAGTTTTTAATTCTAGTACTTGAGTAAATGTACTCAGATATGGTATGAAGTCATCTGAGACAGGTCTCAGTGTTCTATTTTGTAAAAGCAAGAGGCCAGGCATATCAGTTCTGTAAGATAAAACGCTGTATGGTGAGTAGTGCGCATTTGTGTTTGTCATGTAGAAAGAAGAGAAACAGCTCTTCAGAAAAAGTTTTTATTCACTGTAGTGAAAAGCATAAAGTTCAGTTATTAAAATGCAGTCTTGTCTGACAGTATCATGAATGCTTTTATATACAAATAGCTTTTCAGTAAACAGGTAAATAAGCTGGAGCATTAAAAACTTACAAACATGAACCTGGTCTCTTTATCCAATGAACTACAGGAAATTTCATATCTGATGGCAGAAAGTACAAAACAGTTAATTTTAAATGTATTACATTCATTGTTACATAAAACTTAATACTTACATTTTAAAACTGCAGCACATCCATTAAGATGTTTTCTGTTATTTTGACCAGTTACAGCTTGAACATGTTAGGAGCTCATGTGCTAGTTAGAAAAAAGCTGAGGTTGCAAGTGCAACAAAAGTGAGAAGATTTTATCAGCTGGATGTGAAAACATCAGTTGATGAGTTGACACTTTAACATAGAGAAATTAAGATCACACATAGCAATTATTCTACAGATTTCTTTTTTTTTTTACAAATGTACTAATTTGTAAAATTAATTACATTTTACAATTAATTAATTTGCAATGCCATTTTCTACTGTCAATCTACTTTTGTCATTGGGTTTAAAAAGATGTGAAACCAGTACAATTTACATCGCCTGCCAGATGTGGACATCTTAATCAGTGCTCAGTGTTCTCTCTACACTCACTGAAAACCACTTTACTTTCTGTGGACTTTAAGGAAGTGGACGTGCTTTTCTCCACAGGTGCAGCAGAGTCAGATTTACGGGAAATTCGTGACAAGTGGGACGACATGGAGCGGGAGGACATAAATGACAAGTGGTCTTCTGCCAGGGCATTCTCTAAGACAAAGCATATGGACTGCTTAAGCTTGTTCTGGAATTCATGACACATGAAAACATAAAGAATGGGGTTCAGGCAGCTGTTTGTATAAGCCAAACATACAGTGAGAGAACCTGCAATCTTAATATGAGACAAACGTCTGTCAACACGTAATTCAATAAAAGACATAACATGGTAGGGCAACCAGCAGATGAAGAATGCAAGGATGATTGAGAAAATGATTCGGCAAGACCTCTGTCTGTTTCTCCTCTGCAGGCGCCTTGCACGAGCTCCTATGGCCACATAGGAGGCCAATATAGCCAGGAATGGAATGAGGAAGCCCATGGAAAAGCGAAAAATGACAAGACTCTGCATTGGTGTTGTAATTGGGTAGGAACAAAACGTCTTTCCCGATTTTGACCAAATCAGGCGAAAAATGGCATAAGGTGTGCTGCAGATCACAGCAGCCACCCAGATTGCAACACTTATGAGCACTGCTTTGCGAACAGTGCGCTTATTTTGTGCCCACACTACCACCCAGACGGACAGGCAACGGTCCAGACTTATGGCCATCAGAAGGAAGATACTGGCAAACATGGTGACTACAGTCACAAAGTTGTTGAGCTTGCACATTACAAGTCCAAAAGGCCAGTGGTATTCCTGAGAGAATGAAATGATTGTGAAAATCAGGAAGGCCAGAAAGAGGAAGTCTGCTATTGCCAAGTTGAGAAACCATACTGAGTTGACTGTTCTCTTCATCCTGAAGGCTGTCACGTAGATGACCAAACCATTGCCCACAGTCCCAACTATCACTACCACACAGTAGATTGCTACAGAGGCTATACGCAAATTCCTGATTACGTTGTCCACCCCAGCTGGAGTGGAAGTGGTGTTCCCTAATGAACAAAAACAAAATGCATTATTAGATACAACTTAACTGTATGTAACTTAAACAAATTTTGCAATATGCACATAGAAAACAGAATTAGCTTCCTTTTATAACCAGCTTACATAAAAAAGGTTTTTAATTTATGGCATATTATTTTGATTTCTTATCCCTGTGTTAGAGGTCAGAGAATAATCAAGCTGAAATGCAATTTCTACTAATTTCAGTTAGTATTTTGTGATTAAATATGACCTATTAACTAAAAATAATAATACTTTAAATCAGTCTACAACAAATTGTGGTGGAGCACCTTTCTGTTAATGCAATTTAAAAGCAATACACTTATATGTTTAAAGCATCTTACCATTTGCCATTTTTCTGTTGCAGCAGGGGTCTGTCTTTGTTCTCTTTCTTCTCAGTACCAGAAAGATGATCTCTTTCTGGTACTTTCTTATATTCCTCCTCTCTCTCTGATTACTCCTCCTTCTCAGTTCATGCAGATGTCTATGAGGCAGAACTTAAGACATACACAGGAAGTGGGTAAAAATACAATAACACCTTTTAATAAAGTGCAATTCCTCAGAACTGCACAGTTTTAAAGATAGCTAACAGTGGTAAAACATGTTTGTCACTTCCTGGTGGTGTGCCATGTGTGGTGTGGCTGGTCATCGTAACTGGTCATTGAAATGATGCATGCCGCAGCCCACTGGTTGAGAATGGCTGATTTATTGTATGACTCTTGTGTTGTATATTTCACTATACTGAAAAACATTTATGTTTTCAAACCCCTTGTTGCAAGACCAACATTGGTCTTATACTTTGCCAAATACAACTCAAAACTTTCCATTTGCATTTGGATCTTTTTCTTAAAATACTTGTTTGTTGTATGCCACACAGTCTGCCTTTGCAATCTTACCACACAGCAAGCCAAATTTATCTATACAGCACATTCAAAAACAGCAGACACTGACCAAAGTGCTTTACAGCAAGGCATTGTCTTGAGAGAACCCTCACTGACATAATGCCTTCTCTACCTCAATGCCATAACTTTAACCAAAGCCAACCCTTGCTCTAACCTTACACCCCATCATTTTTGTAAAAGTCAACAAATTAGTTGTGGGGCCCAGCCTCCAGTCCCCTTAAAGCAGTGCACTCCCAGTATTTCATCCCCACACGTATATATAAACAAGACCACACACACATACGCACACAAACACTTCAGCTTTTTTGGTTGAAATGAAAGTTAAACATGAAGCTAGCACTAGTTTTTCTTAATTTATATTTTATTCATGACTTTATCACAAATGCAGCAGTACAGTGAGTGTCAGTCAGTAGAATTAGAAACATCCTTGTGACAGTCAGTATTGATGCTGTGTAGAATCACTCACTGATCACATTGAGGAGCAGGATGATGAAGTCTGGGGAGATGTGTGTTGCTGACTTTGTGTGTGTTTGTGTTAGTTTGAAGCCAGAGTTTGGTCAATCCAGCTGCGCAGGTAGGACACACGGGCATACACGGCAGGCGTGAACACGTTGCAATTAGAGGTACCCCAGGACACAATACCCACAAGGTACCACACTCCACTTCTCTCACACACCAGAGGGCCACCAGAGTCACCCTAAAATGAGGCAAACATGTTTTTATAATTGACATGCATAGAGTCATAGAATAGAATATAACCATGGACCACGGCGTGAGTATTGCCTGGTAGTGAAGCACTTAGGGGAATTTCAGCTCTCTACAGGGTTCTACAGGATATGGCCAATGGTTTTTAGAAATGGGAAATTAGATGTATTGCAAAAACATCATTGTTGAAGTAGAAGATGAACCTTTTAAATAGCATTTTCATAATCAAACCAATTGTTAATGATGCAACAATTAATTTATTTAATTATTTTTAATTACTTATATTTGTGATATATCAAAAAATAATGTGTCACTTGTAAATGTATAAAAAGAATTTAAATTAGTAACTCATCATGTGAAATTGGTTTATATTCTGTGTTTATTTATATCTGATCCTTGTTTGAAGAGTTGCTTATTTCCTATGAATGTGTATTTCATCAGGCTTTGAACTGAGTGTTACCTGGCAGGATGACACTCCAGAAGCACCAGCACAGATCATGGCATCAGTGATTCTGCTTTGACCCCAGTACTGCCTGCACTCAGCAGGGCTGATCAGAGGCAGGGCAGTCTGTTGAAGGTAGCGAGGGGTTGCTAGAATGGAGAAGAAATGGAGACGATACTATCACCTACATCTTTGATAGCTTTCCTAGGGAGGTATGGTAAATACTCACCAGTGCCTTTATATTTTTTCTTTGTAGAAATGGGGCTGTTCATACCTTATGTGTGTTTGGACATGTGTACTGTAAGGCTTTCAAAAAAGCTGTATACTCACAGGTTTGGCCGGTCCTGCCCCACCCAGTGGTGACACATTTGGTTCCAGAGGGAATGCTGGTGCTGGAAGAGGCCAGGCACACAGGAGACACGCGGGATGTCATCTGGACTGGAGAGGACAGCTTCAGAAGGGTGATGTCATTGTTGAAGTTCTGGGAGTTGTAGTAGGGGTGAGTGATGGCCTGGATGAGGAGGTGACATAAATTATATTACAATATAATAATAATGTAATTTTGCTGTAACTTCTACACAGGAAACAATTCATTCAGGCTGTTTGTATAATGTAAAAAAGCTTTGATATGTTATGGTGTTACATACCCTGGCAATGGATTTGACCTGAATTGGCTCACTGTTGTACTGGCGGTCATGTTCTCCCAGGATAACACGGTGGTTCATTGGGCTGTAGAGAATAAAAACAGACTTATTACAGAGGTGGCAATGTTGGCATTTTCCTCTTGTGGATAAGGGATACAGAAATAGTGCTTACGACACACGGCAGTGAGCAGCAGTGGCAACCCAGTTCTGGTTGATCAGGGATCCCCCACAGAAATGGAATCCAGTACCATCCTAGGAGGGAGAAGATGCATATTGTATCTTGTTTTTACATCAGAATTGTGCAAGATATTGAGACTGCTGTATGTGTGTAGAGTGTTTACTTAGGTTACCTGAAGTGAAACCTGCCAGGGCCATGACCCAGATACAGCATTCTCCCCATTTACAATCTTGTTATATCCGCTCACTTGGGGCTTGATAGCAGGCACCCCACACCCTGAGACCCAATCACACAATCAAATAATAATAATACTAATAACTAATACAATATGTCTATTCGAAATAGGCATATAGCAGGAAGTGTCAGAATGATGCAATATCATACTGCACAAAGTGTTTACAGTCCCACTGATGTAACAGAACTACAGTATACCACAATTGTTATGAACAATGTGAGCAGATAATGATCTGGTGATGAACCACTAGTCACTCACCCAGTGCAGAGACCACAAGAGCAAAGCAACCGATGAGCAAGAACATGGCTGCGTTTTGGTCGTGATACATGTCCCTGAGTCTCAGCTGTATGGGACACTGGTTTTTATTATGTATATCTCACACACATGACCTTGAGTTCCATGTGTAGCACTCCATACTGCAGGGACTCTTCACCCCCTCCACCTCACCTTCCCAGGTGTGGGAAGAGAACATCTGGTGATAAGCACTCTGGTCTTTTGCATTTGAGTCATAATGTTTAGCAAACAAGTGGTTGTGTAATATTCAACTGGTAAAAAGCAGTACCTAGTTATTACTATGAAACAAATAAAGAACTAACTTCTATGTGTTTGTACAGTCTGTATATTATTGAATTCTTGTTAAATACACCACATTCTTTCATTTTCTAAGCAGTATAGGCCCTTAACAGCATCCTTATTTCAAACATCACTCATCAGGAGAAACTAGACTAAACTAACATAAAACAAAATAAAATAGTTTAAATAAACTCTGGGCCTCATTTTAACAGATGATTTTTTATCAGTTATGTCTTTTCTTACTTCCTCTGAGACGAGTACTACACAGGAAATAGATAATGATCCAAATCTTTGTAGCCTGTTTACAGGAACCAGCTTTATCTTCAGGGTTCAACAGCAGCAACTTTGTCCTTTTGCATACCTAATGTGAATTTTATGCACTAATACATATTTTGTTATTCAGAAACATAATGATATTTAACATATAAGTCACAAGAAAGACACAGCACATTTTTCAAATCAGTATCCCATTGTTGATCTTTATTGGTTTGATGTGTAGAAATCACAAATATGTAAAAAGAAAATACTTTTTTTGGAGTTGTCGTGGAAATCATCAATGGAGAGCTAAATCATGAACACAACGACAAACTTTGATTATGTCTTATGTGAGTAAATATTCTGAGGGCAAGTGTCAAAATGAGCAGCTTAGATTTGATAAATATTATAGCAAAGTTTTAAATACAAATTTGCATTAGTGATGCAATGTTTAATGAATGTTTATTTTGGCTAAGAAAATATTTTTAATATAATTAGTGTATGTTGGGATCTGAAGTGTAAACACTGTCAGCAGTGTTCAGTCGACCTCCTCAATAGTTGGTCCAGAGGAGGATCCGCCTCCAGCTCCACCAGGGAAACCGCCAGGCATTCCTCCTGGCATCCCACCTGGCATACCTCCTGGCATACCCCCCTGGTATAGCTTGGAGATGATGGGGTTGCACACTTTCTCCAGTTCCTTCTGCTGGTGATCGTACTCTTCCTTCTCTGCCATCTGAGTAACAAAAGGAACAAACAGTTCATAGAAGACTAGTTGTATACTCTGTAAAACAGTGTGATAAGGAAGTAGGAAATTGCACCATGCTGTTTTCACACATATGGACCTCTCTGCTTTCACATTTTGAGCCAAGAACCTCGATCACAATTCATGATTCAGTCAGTGGATTTTTACCTGGTTTCTGTCCAGCCAGGCAATAACTTCATTGCACTTGTCCACAATGGTCTTTTTGTCCTCAGGGCTGATCTTGTCTTTAAGCTTCTCGTCCTCCACAGTACTCTTCATGTTGAAGGCCAGAGACTCAAGGGAGTTCTTTGATGTGACCCTGTCTTTCTGGACCTCGTCCTCAGCCCTGAATTGTTCTGCCTCCTGCACCATGCGCTCAATTTCCTCCTTGCTCAGCCTCCCTAAAGTGGGATGAAATACAGAGCTCTACCTCCTTTCCAATATCTGTTTATTCTCTTTCATCTTTATTATTACAGTAGATTTTTAGTGTTCCTGATTTGAAAGTATTTAAGTCATTCTACCTTTTATCTACAGTCATCTACCTTTGTCATTAGTGATGGTGATCTTGTTTTCCTTTCCAGTGCTTTTGTCCACTGCTGATACATTGAGAATGCCATTGGCATCAATATCAAAGGTCACCTCAATCTGAGGGACCCCTCTGGGAGCAGGTGGAATACCAGTCAGCTCAAACTTTCCCAGGATATTATTGTCTTTGGTCATGGCTCTCTCGCCTTCATAAACCTGAAAACATTTATGCAAATCACATTCTTACACATCATTGAACACTATCAGGAATACTATCAGTTTTACTGATAGTATTACTATCAGTAATACACTGCGGTAATGGAGAGTGAACTGTACTTGAAGGTTGCTGTACCTGAATGAGCACACCAGGTTGGTTGTCTGAGTAGGTGGTAAAGGTCTGGGTTTGCTTGGTGGGGATAGTGGTGTTCCTTTTGATAAGGACAGTCATTACTCCTCCAGCAGTCTCAATTCCCAGGGACAGGGGCGTGACATCCAGCAGGAGCAGGTCCTGTACATTCTCAGACTTATCACCAGCCAAGATGGCTGCCTGCACAGCTGTGAAGTGGTAGTGAAACAAATGCTATGGTGACAAAAAAGCTTTAACATAAATCATTTATTGAGTTTGAACTATAAAACACTAATATGACTAGAAAACAGTATAAACCTGAAACCCACAAAGATACCCACCTGCACCATAGGCCACAGCCTCATCAGGGTTGATGCTCTTATTAAGGTCACGACCATTAAAGAAGTCCTGCAGTAGCTTTTGAATCTTGGGAATACGCGTGGAGCCACCCACCAGGACAATGTCATGGATCTGGGTCTTGTCCATCTTGGCATCCCTCAGGGCCTTCTCCACAGGCTCGAGCGTCCCACGGAACAAGTCGGCATTTAGCTCTTCAAAACGGGCCCTGGTGATGGAAGTATAGAAATCTGTGCCTTCGTAGAGTGAATCAATCTCAATGCTGGCCTGGGTGCTGCTGGAGAGGGTGCGCTTAGCGCGCTCACATGCTGTGCGGAGACGACGCACAGCTCGCTTGTTGTTGTTGATGTCCTTTTTGAACTTGCGCTTGAACTCAGAAACGAAGTGGTTAACCATGCGGTTGTCAAAGTCCTCACCACCCAAATGAGTGTCACCAGCTGTGGACTTAACCTCAAAGATACCATCCTCAATGGTCAGGATTGACACATCAAAAGTACCACCTCCAAGGTCAAAGATTAGGACGTTACGTTCACTGCCAACCTAAAATAAATTGTAAGAATTTGTAATAGCAACATCATTGTGGTTAACATCTACATTTTATGTGTTAGTTACCTTTTTGTCCAGGCCATAAGCAATGGCTGCAGCTGTAGGCTCATTGATGATGCGCAGCACATTAAGCCCAGAGATAGTGCCAGCATCTTTGGTGGCTTGACGCTGGGAATCATTGAAGTAAGCAGGCACTGTGATGACTGCATTGGTAACAGCCTGTAACAACATTAAGACTGTCATTCAGTAAATACAATTTATGTGTCAGGATGCTGCAAACATGAAAAGAGACTTTTTTTGCTGTAATGCTTGTTATGATTCTGACACATTTCAGACACGATCTTCTGTTAAATGTAACACTTGCGAATATCATGTAGCATTTCCTTGCAGTTGCCTCATGTTTTCCCACCCTTGTATCTGCATAAAATCAAACAACCCAAGATGAAGTTTAGTAGCATTCAGTATAACTATTATGGACTACCTTGCCAAGGTAAGCTTCAGCGATCTCCTTCATCTTGGTGAGGACCATTGAAGAAACCTCTTCTGCATAGAAGGTCTTGATCTCACCCTTGTATTCGACCTCCACCTTGGGTTTGGATCCGTCGTTCACAACCTTGAAGGGCCAGTGCTTCATGTCTGACTGCACCACAGGGTCGTCAAACCTGCGACCAATCAGGCGCTTAGCATCTGAAGTAGATTTAAAAGAAAAAAACAACACTGTAAATTGTATAGTTTGCAGTGTATATACATTATTGATTTTTTAAGTGATTAGTCGAGGCACTTGTGGGTATTGCAGTCCTTACCAAACACAGTGTTGGCTGGGTTCATGGCCACCTGGTTTTTGGCAGCATCTCCAATCAGTCTCTCAGTGTCTGTAAAGGCCACATAGCTGGGTGTGGTCCTGTTTCCTTGGTCATTGGCAATGATCTCCACTTTGCCATGTTGAAAAATGCCCACACAGGAATATGTGGTACCCAGATCAATGCCTACTGCTGGTCCTTTAGACATCTTAAACAAACAAAAGAAATGAATTAATCATTTTAACCTTTTGGGACAATAATTCTAAATTAGTGTAAATATTCATCACTGAATACATATATTTTGAATATTGGTTCTAATGTTTATATTGGTAATAATTTGTACTTAGACCTTAAAAATGTGTTTGCTTGTATAATAAAACATGTATGCACCAACATACTATTTACCCTCACATATACTGTATCTGCAAAGGTGAACCTGTTTCTGTTATTTACATACTAAGTCCAGCTATATGAGGCTCAGCTAGTGGTGGAATGGCATCCTAGGCATAGTGGCTTAAATCACGTACTGACACTTGAGACAAAATGACTGGACTATGTCTCACTGCCCTTTAAATCCCCCTCCACACTTGCTTTGCTCTCACAGGAACATAGCACTACGGTGTCTGAGTCAGCCTGGTGAAAGGTGATGGGACTGATAGTAGTGACCTGTGTGTCTAGTTTCTGACAGCTGGCTCTAAATAACTTAAGCTTACTATAAAAAGTATCAGCATATCTATATAGCAATGAATGGAAGGTGACTACAAATTCAGGGACCATTTATCAGTGACTAGTGCGCAAAACTTGCCTGGTTCCTTTTAAAACAAAGAGCTTAATAACCACAAATACCTACATAAATATAGAGCTTTGAAGTTCAGATATTTTTGTTTAGTGCAGAACTCAACAAAGTCTCTTGTTGCCAGACATCTAGGGACTGTGGGTTGACTATACTGCAGGAAATGGAGCACTTTCAGTAGCAGTATTTAGAAACACACAGTATAGATTTAACTTATTTGCAAAGCACAAAATTACTTTCATTAAAGTTTAATGTTTATAGATAATCGTTTTTTCTCTGTGTCCAGTAGGTGAAGGAAGGAACTTGATTCATTTAATCTCCCAGACCTGCTTTAACTAGAAGAGGTTACTGAATGGCCAGTTATTTTCCAGTTGTGTAACA